AATCCAATATTATTTAAAATCCAACAACTGATACCTTATTATTTACACAATAAATCTGAAGAACATATTATAGAAGGTGCCACTTTTTATGAAGCAGATTTGCCTGGATCCATGGACGAATTAAAAGGTAAAAACAATTATTATAATAAATCACTAGGTATTACATTTTTGAAATAAATTATAAATGCATTATTACAATTATTTACAGGTGAAATTGCATTGTGGCAGCTGTATTGGACTCAACAACCAGTAAAAAAGGAAAAAATAAATACAACAATAGACGCATTCAAAGAAACTGAAGATGGGTATTTTCCAAACATTCGTCAACTTTTACTAATTTTAGCAATATTACCAGTAACAACATCGACAAGTGAGAGGTCTTTCTCAACGCTAAAACGCATAAAAACATACTTGAGAACAACAATGGGGAAAACCGTTTAAACGGGTTAGCTTTGCTTAATATCCATAAACAAATTGATGTAAAACCTGAAGAAGTGTTAGATATGTTTTCAAAATCTAATCCTAGGAAATTACAATTATCTTTATCGTTATTAATATTTACAATATTATTATAATTTAAATATAATCTTCAACAAATAAAAAAAAAATACACATTTAAAATTATTGTCTATTTGTATGTATTTGTTAATTACTGAAAAAATGTAAGATTTGCATTTTGGACTATAGCCTTCCCCCCAAAATTAAATCCTGGATCCGCCACAGTGAGTATTTTCGTTGTTATTATACATTTATACATATTTGAAAATATATCAAAAATATATTTCAAATTGTTTCAGTTCCGTGTCGACGCTCGTTGTACACACACGGTGGAGCGCTCGTCCGTACTTTCATCGCTATTCTACCGTTATATAGGTATATGTATTTATTTATTATTTATTTTTATTTTTTTTCTCTCTTTGCGTTGATCTCCGCACAACAACGTCTTAGTTAAAATATTAAATAACTTCCATTTGTTTTATACTAAATAAAGCGAACGCGTTATTTTCATTTAAATAAATATTACAACGCCGACGCCGGCAAATGTAAATCGTTCTTATCTGAAGGCCAAGCCTATAGGTAATTACCGATATCGACTATCTCATTAAATGTCTAACAATAATGATGTCCAAAATAAAACCGTTGCTCCTATCCATCTTATCAACAAGAAAGGTAAAAATTCATTAACGGCCAGTTCAAGTTCAATAAATGACCCAGTTAACGACTGGGAAATTAAAAATAATAAAAACCAAAACAAAAGAAATATCTCTACATCATCAAGTGGAAGTATGAAATCACCAACACTACCGAAAAACAAAAAACCAAAAAAACCACTATTCATAACTACCAATCGTTTTGAAGTTCTATCTCAAAATGATGACGAAGTTTTCGCTACCACACCACAAGCAATTATTCCCAACGAAGTTATTCCGGACGAACTAATTAAACCTCCACCTCCAATTTTCGTTAGAGGTGTATTAGAATTTAAAGATCTTTGTAATGAAATAAGCGAACTTATTGGCAATGATAAATTTTTCTGTAAATCTTCTACGGATCAATTAAAAATCCAAACTGCAACTCCAGAGGCATACAGACTATTAATTCATTATCTTAAAAATAACAATGCTCAATTTCACACGTATCAGCTAACACAAGATAAACCGATCAGAGTAGTAATTAGAAATATTCACCCTTCTACTGATATCAATGAAATTAAAAAAGAGTTAACTGAATTATCATTTGCTGTTAAACAAGTGACCAATGTTTTACATAAAACAACTAAACTTCCTCTACCTTTATTCTTTGTGGACTTAGAAAAATCTGAAAAGTCATTAGAAATTTTCCAATTACCCTCACTTCTATATACGAAAATCAAAGTTGAGGAGCCCTATAAGCCAAGAATGATATCTCAATGTCAAAATTGCCAAGACTATGGACACACTCGTTCTTACTGCGGATATCCTCCTCGCTGCGTCCGATGTGGAAACTCACATTTAACTTCAGACTGCACCAAACCAAGGGACAGCCCAGCCAAATGTGCCCTGTGCTCCGGCAGCCACCCTACCAACTACCGAGGATGTAATGTCTTTAAGGAACTCCAACGACGAAAGAAACCCAACAACAAAAGTAAATTTCTTCATGATAATGTTAATTTAAATCATTATAATAATAATAATTTCAATGTAAAAGAAAATCACCCATTACCGACTAATATTAATCCCAACACCCACTCCCCTCTCAAAACATATGCTCAAGCTACATCTAATGAAACTTACGAAACAACTAATACAGGTCACAGCAAACACCATTCTTCAACGTTAGACATCAACAAAACAATGTCAGATTTTCTTGACAACTTTAAATCACTAATTAATCTATTAATTGCCCTCTTAACACAAGTAATTTCATCACTTTTAAATAATAAAAATGATAGATAACTCACCCACAAAAACGTCTCTTATCATTCTCCTTTTTAATGCAAACGGCTTAAAAAACTACGTAAACGAAATACAAACTGTCTTATACGAAAAACGTATCGATATCGCGTTAATAACCGAGACACACTTCACCAAATATTCCCAGGTACATATCCCAGGTTATATTACTTACAAGTCAAATCATCCAGACAACACGGCTCATGGTGGTGTTGCCATAATCATCAAGTCTACCCTGTCTTTCTCACCACTACCAAACTTTACCCGTGATTACCTACAATCCTGTGCTGTCACAATTAAGCTAAATAACATACCGATCACTATTGCCTCAATCTACTGTCCCCCGAAACACAACATCTGAGCTCCTCAGTTTAATGACTACTTCTCAACAATTAACTCCAATTTTATAACTGGTGGCGACATAAATGCGAAACACCAGAGCTGGGGGTGTCGCGCAGCCAACCCGCGTGGTAATGTGCTCTATAATTTTACCAATGCTAAAAAATACTCAGTATTGGCTCCACCGGGTCCCACATACTGGCCATCTTCTATACGTAAAAAAACCTGACATATTAGACATATTTGTTAGTAAAGTGCCAAGTAACTTATATTGCACCCCGGAAAATATCTTAGATCTAAATTCCGACCATTCATCAGTTCTCTTAACAGTCAGTGCTTCCCCAACAGTTAAAATGACATCTCCTAAACTTTTTTCTCCACTTACAGACCGTATCAAATTTCATAACTTAGTAGAACAAGAGATAAATCTAAATTTCAAATTAAAAACATATGATGATATTGACAATGCAGTAGATAAATTCACTTCTATCATCCAAACAGCGGTTTGGGAGTCACAGTCAAATTCAAAAAGTCTTCAGATTCCCAAAAACCCCTTTCTCCCACAACACATTCGCTCGCTAATAGTTGAAAAAAGGAAAGCCAGAGCACGGTATCAAACCTCTCGCCTACCTTCTCATAAAATAATGTACAATAATCTAGCCAACTCGCTTAAAAAATACCTTTCAAAATATAAATCCGATATCCTAGAACAAAAGTTATCAAATATATCCTCCTCAGACGGCAGCCTTTGGAAAGAAACAAATAAACTACCACGGTATAAGGCTAACTTGCCACCCTTAACAAAAAATGATACTACTCTTGCTGTAACTGATGAAGATAAAGCCGGAGTTTTCCGTCAACACCTTTCTGAAATATTTAAGCCACATCCTGATATATTTAACCCGACTCTCAGCGCAGAAATAACTCAGTATCTTGACTCTCCCTTGCCTCTTTATCTTCCCGAAAAAAGTTTTACACCAAACGAAATTAAATCTACAATACAGAAGTATACCCTTAAAAAATCACCCGGCTTCGACTTAATTACCGCCGAAGTCGCTAGGTGCCTACCAAAAAAAGCTATTCTATTCCTAACCCATTTATTTAACTCAATCTTACGTCTCTCATACTTTCCACTCCTATGGAAATTCTCCAATATAATTTTAATTCCCAAACCTGACAAACCACTAGACTTACCTTCATCGTACAGGCCAATAAGCCTATTGCCATTTCTAGCAAAAGTATTAGAAAGACTAATACTTAAAAGACTTTTACCCTACCTCGATAAGAATAAGATCTTACCAGACTCTCAATTTGGCTTTCGCTCGGCGCATAGCACAATACATTAAGTGCACAGGTTGGTCGACGCAATTTCGTTTTCCCTAGAAAAAAAATATTACTGCACCTGTGCATTTCTCGATATAAGCCAAGCGTTTGATAGAGTTTGGTATTAAGGCCTTCTGTTCAAATTAAAAAAATTTCTTTCCCCCTCCTTATACTTACTGCTTAAGTCTTATTTAACAAACCGCCATTTCCAAATCAGGGTTGGATCTTCTGTATCGGAAATTGAAAAATTTTCGCTGGTGTCCCTCAGGGTGGGATCCTCTCACCCCTTTTATTCAATATTTATACATCAGACCAGCCTGTCTCTCAAAATACTATAGTAGCCGATTACGCGGATGACAAAGTCATAATCTCAATTGACAAAAACCCCCAAATTGCATCTTCGAACCTTCAAATTCATCTGAATTTAATGTCAGAATGGTACTTGAAATGGCGAATTAAACCAAATCCAAATAAGTCAGTACATACAACATTCACTTTATGTCACTCCATCTGTCCAAATGTCTCTTTAAATAATGTTCCTATTCCAACGTCTAACACAGTCAGATACCTAGGACTCAATTTAGATAAACGCCTTACTTGGAACGCCCACATCCGTATCAAAAGATTTGCCTTAAATGCCCGACTCCGCAGTCTACGTCCCTTGCTTACAAATAATAAACAATCAAAACTAAAAGTTAAAGTTCTCATGTATAAAGCACTACTAAAACCAATGTGGACTTATGGTCTTCAATTGTGGGGTACTGCTAAAGTATCTAATACCAAAAAAATCCAACAGTTCCAGAATATTGCTCTCAGAAAAATTACAAATGCTCCACCTTTTGTGTCCAATTATACTTTACATAAAGACCTCACAATGAAAACCGTGACAGAAGAAGCTGTAAATTTCTACAAACGCTTTCATAATCGCCTACAAACCCACCAAAATCCATTGATAAAGAGCCTCTACACTCAAAATATACCGGGAAACCCCGGGCGTCGTCTAAAAAGGAAATGGTGCCGTGACTTGTTATAAAAAAAAAACAACGAAGTTCTAGACTCTAGACAGCGTTAATCCCCAGCCAAGTGTCACCAATGGGTGACTTCTTAATTCAAAATACTCATGTTAATATTATAATATCATATATACTTATTGTGCTACATTGTACAGATTGTGTATTTAAAAGTGTAAAATAAATAAAAAAAAAAAAAAAAAAATTGTTTTGGTTTAGATTTCCGAAAAATGAAGTAAAGAGGCTTAAATAGTGTGATGCCTTGGGTTTATCAATGGCTACACCTAACCAATCAGTATGTAGTAATCATTTTGGTCAAGACTGCTATAATTTTAGTCTTAATAGAAAGATACTTAAACCATTTGCTGTTCCATCACTGTAAGAATATTCTTAATTTAGAAAAGTAATTAGTTTAAAGTCATTTACAACTCTTTAATGTATTATATTTTAGTTCATTTGAAAGTATACCAGAACTAGATCTATCAATGATATCGCCCATTTCTTCTACATCTAGAACTATGCATAAGTATGTATTATATATTTCCCAATTTACAATATAATATTATTGATAATAAATATTAAGTGTGTTTAGGTAAAGACTTTAAGTCATTTACTACTCTTTGATGTATTAAATTTCTAATATTATATTTTAGTTCATTTGAAAGTATACCAGAACTAGATCTATCAATGATATCGCCCATTCCTTCTACATCTAGAACTATGCATAAGTATGTATTATATATATATCACAATTTATAATAGTATAACATTATTGATGATAAGTGATTTAAGATGTGAATAACGTAATATGAATGAAAAATGTAATAATAATTTTTTATTAATTAAAATTTTAGACACTCTTTGAGTCCAAATGATTATTTATATTCAACTCCTAAGAAAAAAAACAAAAGAAGATTCATCCCATCAGCGTTTTCCAAATATGTATGTAAAATGTTTATGTTGTATATGTTATATTTTCTGATACTTTGTTTCCTTATATAATTTTAATAATAGTTTTAGTAATAATATTTAAATTGTTTGACTTTTTATCAGGTGTCTTAGAAAAAGAAAGTATATAACACTAGTCGAATTGGCGATCTTACTTCTTTTGGTTTTGGAACTCCAAGGCAGTCATCAAGAAATTTAAAAATTGTAAAAAAGACAGTTCAAAACTTGAGGAGGAAAAACAAAATTTTAAATCAAAAAAACAGACGTTTAGAAAATAAAATTACATCATTAAATGACATATTATCTGTTTTAAAACAAAAATCTTTATTAACTGATTTTACAGCTGATAATATGAAGGTATCAATACAAATAATTGTAATTAATTAAATGTTTGGGCAGTAGAATGTAAAAATAATATTATTTGTATGTTGTTGTGTTGCATGAAAAATGTGTTAGTATTAATCTAATGGTTTTATTATTGATTATTGTTTTATACTAATTATGTATTTGTTCCATTAAATATTTCCTTTTTACTAAAATTAATGTATAATTATTATGTATATTATTAATTGTATAGTAAATATTAATGTAGTTACATGATTGTTTTGTTTATATTAGGCTTTACGTTCAGATGTTCTGGAACAATTTATTATAAGAGGTTTGAAAGGTAAAAAACAGGTGTATTGTAATGAACTTAAACAGTTTGCTGTTACTTTACAATACTACTCTCCAAAAGCTTACACATATGTCAGGAAAAGATTTAATAATTTGCTTCCACATCCCCGTTCATTTCGTAGATGGTTTATGGTGGTTGATGGTAAACCTGGGTTCACACAAGAGTCATTTGAAGCGATTAGAAAAGAAGCAGGAGATCACTTTGTGTATTGTAATTTAGTTATTGATGAGATGTGTATTAGGCAGCAAGTTGAAATTGATAGTCAAAAAAATGTTCATGGATATATTAACATGGGAGCTGAGTATTCTTATGACAGTGATGATATTCCACTAGCAAAAAATGCTTTAGTATTTTTGTCAGTAGGCATAAATGGTTACTGGAAAATGCCATTGGCTTATTTCCTCATTGATGGATTAGGAGGTAAAGAAAGAGCTAACCTATTACAGGAAGGAATTCATTTATTACATGATACCGGTGCTAAACTCCAATCAATAACATTTGATGGAGCAAATGTAAACACAAGAATGTGTACTGAATTAGGAGCTAATTTTGATCATAAGAACCGTCGAGCTTTTATTATTAGTAAATATGATGAAAAATTATTTATTTATTTTGATCCTGCTCACATGCTGAAATTAATAAGAAATGCATGGGAACACAGGTCGGTGATTAAAAACTCCAATGGAGAGATTATTGATTGGATGTACATTAAAAAACTGTATGAATTAGAAAAGGAACAGGGATTAAGAGCTGGGACTAGACTGACCAAGAGACATGTTAATTTTCACAATGAGAAAATGAATGTCCGATTAGCAGCTCAAACATTGAGTGAGTGTTGCTGATGCGCTTACTTATTTAAAAAATACAAATGAATATTTCAAAGAAGCAGGGCCAACAATAGAATTTATATCTTTTATTAATAATGTATTTGATATACTAAACAGTAGATCAAGATTTTCGAAATCACCATTCAAACGTGCTATTTTTGATAAAACATTAGACGACTACAAAATATACATACAACATTTTATCAAATACGTTAAAGGCCTACAATTCTTAAATGGAATCAACGAGAAAAACTGTATTTGTTGGTTTCATTTTGGGGCTCCAGAATGCAATAAAAATGTACCAAAGTTTACGTTCAAAAGGTGACATGACATTTTTTTTAACTTATAAAATTAGTCAAGATTTTATTGAAACAACATTTAGTGCTATTAGATCAAGGCTTGGATATAACGACAATCCAACTTGTATGCAATTTAAAGCAGCTTATAAAAGAATTTTAGTCCATAATGAAGCAGTTAGGTCAATATTTGGCAATTGTTCAATTTTGGACAACACAAAAAATCTAAGTGTTACTGAAAAGGCCAAGGACTCAGTATTAACTTTAGAAAGCATTTGGCTACCACAGCAAGATATAAACATTGACCATGACTATTATGAAAATTATACAAAAATAAGTTCATTCATAGAAGATACATCTATGTTTATAGGTGGATTTATTGTAAAAAAAATATTAAAAAATTTAAAATGTGAAAGTTGCCAAAATTGTTTGATTCAACAGTCCAATAAAAATCCTAATTCTTCAATAAATATTAAGAACCGAGGAAGATTAGTGTATCCTAGCAAAGCTGTAGAAGTATTATGCCAAGAATCAGAAAAGATTTTTAGAAGTGAATCTCCATTATATTACAATAAGCCAAAGAACAACAATTTTTAATTAACAAAGTTAAAGCGAACATTTATAAAGGAGGAAAAGAAACAATTCCATATTGCACAGGACAAGAATCATTTTTAAATAAACATATGCACAGAGATAATTTAATAAATTTAACAATCAATAAATATGTTGACATTCGTATTTTTCACGAAATTAGAAAAATAAATGATAACAATATTAAGGAAAAACGTACCCGAGCTAAGTTAACAAAGCTTATTCATTTTAGTCATGAGTAAATAATGTGTATTAAATATTGTCATTATACCGACTTATGGATCCAAATTGTGATTTATATATTTATTTAAGATTCGACATAGGTAATATCATTTTAATTATAAATTATAAGTAAATATAAGTATGATTTTGTTATTCAATATTAATATTAAAAATTAACATTAAATATAAAATATGATGAATAACGAAAAGAACTGAATATAAAAAACACCTATTATAGTTATTGATTATTTAAATTGACAATTTGACATTTTGATAATTGATAAGACCCCTTGTAACCTCAAAATAAATATTTATTCCCGTGTGATAAGTTGTAATGGCCTATCCATTCTTCTATTATCTATGCTTTATCTAAGTCATAGCATGACTAATCATAAGGAAAATGTTAGACCCGATAGTATTTCATGACGGCGCGGCGCCCTTATACAGACATCGCGGCGCACACTTTGGAAACCTAAGCTCTATGATATATAAGGATGATATATAACTGTGATATCACAGATTATATTAAACTTTTAATATAATCTGTGGTGATATTGTATTCTCTTCTGATATCAGGTGGATTATGATTATCAATGCTTATCATATCAAATAATATTTTCACAGTAGTTATATCCATAATTCGTCTGAAATTTAATTCTACTTGCTGTCTAAGTGTTGAATGACGATGTAAATGTTAGAAAAGGAAGTTAAGTAGTAGGTAATAATGTCAATGTTGTTCAAGAATTTTCATTAATTTGTTTCAAATTATACCTAGTTTGTAGATTCATAATTGCTGTATAACGATCAAATATGAAGTTTTTAAATTACAAGAACATACTTCTCATGTATAATAAGACTTTATGGTCAAATAAATGTTTTTACTCATCGTTTTCCAAACACCAGTATTTATTAAGTCGCTATTATTCTTCTATGCCAGAACATAGAATTTGTAGTGCATTGTTAAATAATTCTGGTGTTCGCTCCTATTTGGACAGTCTTATATCCAAAGATTATTCCGATATCATGTCCAAGTCTAATGTATCTGCATTAATTCTTGCTATACGTAGTATAAGAGTTGATTTACAATCACTGAAGGAGTTTGATACAGGTCAATATTACAATTTTTTTAATATATATATATATATATATATATATATATATATTATACTAATATTTAAACATTAAAAAGGTTTATAACTTAACAGTATTATGTTTGTTTATCAAGAAAAGGAAAAAGATGAAGAATTTATTTTACAGTTGCAAAAAGAGAAAGAGTCTTATGAGAAACAATTGAATAAACTTGAACTTGAAGTATGCAGTATAATAATTATTAATCATATATTTACAAATTAATTAATTATAACATATGCATCAGCTCTTAAATTCTTTAGTACCCAATATCAATGTTGATTGTGGAGATATTATGTTAGAAATTACTGCTGGAGTAGGAGGTCAAGAAGCAATGATATTTACACAAGAACTTTTTGAAATGTATAATTCTTTTGTAAACTATAGAGGATGGCAAAGTGAAGTTGCTGATTATTCTCCTACAGATATGGGTAACTCTTTAAATGTTTTTGAAAATAGAAATTATACATTAAGTTTATTTAATAATTTAATTATTGATGTTTTATATTTATTAGGCGGTATACGGCATGCATGTATAATGATATCAGGTAATGATTGTTACCGATCATTGCAACATGAGGGTGGTGTGCATCGAGTTCAACGTGTTCCAAAAACAGAAAAGTCTGGACGAGTTCATACCAGTACAGTGACAGTGGCTGTTTTACCTCAGCCTGCCGAAGTAATTAATTTGTCATAAAATATTATTTATAAATATATTATCTAATAAATTTACTAATATTGATATAATTAACAAATAAATATACTATATCATCATAAATTAATAATAAATAATCTATGATATTTTGATAAGTATTCAGAACTAAATATTTTAGTTTATTTTAATATAAAACTTAAAATGTATTTATTATTTGTTCTACTATTGCTATTATTTATTTATTTATTTATTTGGACTGGCAAAATGCCCATTAAAGCTGAAAAAAAAACCAATCAGGTTGGTAGCTTACAAATTTTTAAATTAAATTCTAAGTGGTTATTGGTTAAATACTTTACACACTTATTAAATAAGTAATGCAGTTTTAAATATATATTATCACAAATTAAATTACTAATTACAATATAAATATATAAAAATATTATAAATATATCTAATAATCTCCAATATGTACTACGTTATTTCTTAAGAACTATTTTATTAAATTATTTAAAAATACATTAATCCTATTAACAGTAGTACATGAAAATAAGTCAATATGAAATTTATTAACTAATTCCATGCCTCTATTTATGAAAGAATTTTGACCATAATTGGTAGACTGGAATGGTACATAAAAAGTATTTAGTTGCCTTGTACTATGATTTGGAACAAGAAAGCTTAAGTGAGAAAGTAATACAGGACAATAAACTCGTCCATTAAGTAATTTAAAAATAAAACAGACATCAAACCTTATCCTTCGTATCTCCAATGATTCTATGTTTAAAAGAAATATTAGTGGCTGGTAAGAGAAGTGTAGATGAAGTTGAATATCGCAGTTAATTGATATAAAGCGCAAAAAATGATTTTGTATCAACTCTATGGATTGTATCGGACCTACTCTACTATAATAAAATTGTAATTTCAGTTAGATGTGGTGATTAATGATAGAGATTTAGTCATAGAAACTAAACGTGCAAGTGGTGCAGGTGGTCAACATGTCAACAAAACTGATAGTGCAGTAAGAATGCACCATAAGCCAACAGGTTACAAATAATTACATAAAATCAAATTTTTTGATAAAAAATATTGAGTTTAATTGTTATGTTTTTCAAAATTGTATTATCAGGTATTGTAGTTGAGTGTCAAACAGACAGGTCTCAAATAAAAAATAGAAAAATAGCACTACAAAAATTAAGAGCAATAATTTATCAAAAACAACTTGACCAACAACAATTATTGACGAGATCTGTTAGAAAACAACAAGTACATTATTCAATTTAATTGGATTTATAATATGTTGTATAATAATTCAAATTGTAATAAAAATTTGTTTTTCTCCATTTTAATCAGGTTGGTTCTAGTGGAAGATCAGAAAAAATTAGAACTTACAATTTTAATCAAGACCGTATCACTGATCATCGTTTGTCTAAGAATTTTCATAATTTAATGGGATTTTTAGAAGGCAGAGATTATTTGGATAAAATAATCAATGAATTACAAGAAAGGACAGATGAAATACTCTTCAGAGAGTTTGTTGAAAGTATTTCTCAAAAAAATTAAATATTCATCAACCTGCATTCATTGAAATTATTATATTTAGTATTGACTAATGTATATTTTTATTTAAGTAAAATAATATTTATTTATTCATTGTTTGTTATTTTATAACATCAAAAATTAATGACACTATCAATAATGTATGCCTTCAATTTTTGTATTGAAATATAATCTATAATGTATGGAGATACTACATTATTATTTAGTGTTTATCAATTATATGCTTAATATATTAACATTGCTCTAGCAATATTTATCATATATTTATACAAATACAAATTAAGTTTGTGTGTATGTCATTTATGCATTCCTAAACTATTTAACCGATTTGTATGACATTTGATACAGAGATAGATTAGACCTTGGAGAAAGATATACATAGACTAACTTTTGTTGTAAAAATTAAAAGTGAAGTATGCTTCAGTACCAGTAGTGCAGAAAAAAATGTTGAGTGATCTAGTGCAGCGGTTCCCAAACTTTTTTTTCAGCGGTGCCTTTTTTTGGACCTAATTTATCCACGGTGCCCTGCTGTGAACTACAATACAGAACAAAAAAAAA